GGTCGAGGCGGAGTCCCTGGCCTCTTGCGGAGGGTGTGTAGAGCAGATGTGGAAGGGAACAGCTGTAGGGTGTCAGGGCTCAGTGGGTTGGCAGAGGAGCGGGGCAAGGCAAGGATGGGAGGAGGAGGTGGCGTGAGAGGAGGGAAGGACAGGCAACCAGAAGACAAGGCGTGTAGCCGTGGCAGCAGTCCCATGGGTCCAAGGAAGAGGCTCAAAGTCCTCTGGATGGTGGCCTAATTAACTGGCTTTGCTTATCTCACTGTCTGACCTTGTGAGATGCATAATTAAGTCTTCCGAGCCTCGGGGTTTGCCTTTTCTGGGGCTTTTTTTCACCTGGGTGGTGATGTTTGTATGAACATCACTCCAGCCCGCCACGCGCTGGCAGCTGGCGTGGTTTGGGGGAAGGAGTGATGGTGAGATGCCCATGGGCTGGGGGGGCAGGTGTTTCCCTGCTCGAGCACCCCTTTTCCTCAGGCTGTGGGGGCCTGCAAGGGTTTGCAGAGAGGGTACAGAGACTTTTCAAAGGCTTTGGCTTTACAGAGAGGCTTTGGAGTGCGTTTTATTTTAACGCCGGTAATTATCGCAACTGAATCTTCGATTTCATGCGGCCTTTATTCTTAGCAAACAGGCGGGGGAAAAAAACCCATATTTCTGTTTAGATTATTTTTAAGGACTTTGAATGGCCCACTCCAGAGATTAGCTAATTGCAAGATAAGGACTTTCCTATAATTAGAAAATGGCATTACTTAAAAGTCACAGAGTGCCTTTTAATTTACCAGCAGAAGTCCATAATTGTTTCTTTATTTTACAGAAAATTATGATGCCAGACTTTCCAGAATAGACATCGCTAACACGCTGCGGGAACAAGTCCAGGACCTGTTCAATAAGAAATATGGTGAGAAACCAGGGGGGAGTTGGTTTTATTCCCCCTTTATTCCCTCCTAATTTTTTGCTCCCTACCCTTTGTTTCTCCTCCCGTTTCCTCCTCGCCAGGTGCATTCTCTCACCTTCCCCTTGAGCAGCTGGGAGCTGGGCAGGGAGTGGTGGGTCTGGGAATTGGTGTTCTTTGCTGCAGGCACTTGCTGCCTCAGCAGCTCCCACACAGGACAGGGGAGCCCATGATGGGGAGTGTGCCGCAGCCCTTCCTTCCTGCTGCCTGCCCTTCCAGCTGCCTCCCTTTCCCAGCCATGTTTTCATGGTTGGTTTTTTTTTCCTTTTAACCCCAGCTCTGTGCAGAACAATGATGGTAAATTCATTAGCAGAGAATTGCGGAGCTGTGGGAGTGCAGGAGGTGGTGGGAGGTTGGGAAGGGACTAAGGAGGGGAGGTAGCAAGCACTCGCAGGAGCACTGGGGGATGAGTAGATGCTGCCCCTATCCCCAGGGCACCTACCCAGGCTCTGCAGGGCACTCCATGACCTGCCTGCCCCAGCATCTGTTCTTTATCAAACAAGACAGGGAAATGCTTTTATCTTCATTTCCTAGTCAGGGGTAAGACTTGTGCAGGTTCCCAGGTATCTGCAAGAGCAATTACTTGCACAGAAATGTGGAGCCTCAGTCTTGCAGCCAGACCTCAGAGAGGGAACATGCCTATGGAGTTATCTCCAAATAATGTCCCAAAGCAAAGAGCAGTGGCTTTCCATCCTTCCCACTGCACGGCATCATTGTACAGGACGGTGCCTCTCCTCGGCCCCACCAGCTCTGCTGTGTGTGCATGGCTGCCTCAGGACCACTTCACTCCCATTGTTGAGACAGCCTGAAAATGTTGATCCTCGACCTAACACTTGACGTGGTGCCTCGAGCAGCCTGCTCATGCCACACTGTGCTTTGGCAGGGCTGGGATGGAGCCAGAGCCACAGTAGAAATGGCATCCCTGGCATCCCATGTGCTTACTGCTCGCTTACCACTCGCTTCTCTCCCAGGTGAGGCCTTGGGGATTAAATACCCCGTGCAAGTGCCATACAAACGGATCAAGAGCAATCCGGGGTCGGTGATTATAGAGGGGCTGCCCCCTGGGATCCCTTTCAGGAAGCCGTGTACCTTTGGCTCACAGAACCTGGAGAGGATATTGGCCGTCGCCGATAAAATCAAGTTCACCGTGACGAGGTATGTGGCAAGAGGTGTCAGCCACCCTGTTGAGCAGGAGGGGGAGAGGAGGGCACCGACCTAAATGCACTCCCAGCTCTGCCAGCCCCACTGGGGCAGGACTGGAAATACTGGAAATGCCTCCAGCCCCCAAGACTGCAGTTACTCAGCAGCTAACACTTGGACAGAAAAGAGAGGATCATACAATAGAGACTCCTGCTCTTTCATCCTGTCTGCTACCCAGGGAGGTAGTGGTGAGGCACTGGCAGGAGAAAACGGTGCTCAGTGTGATGGATGCACAGGCAGAGAAATCCCAGGCCACTTTCTAGGAGGCTTGAGATAGGAGAAACGCTGCTTGGATTATTGTTGGTGCCAGGCAGCACTCAGGGTCCCACAGTGCTTGGGGAGGCGCTGGGCACTGGCCGTTCACGGCAGGTCCTGTGGGTTTTGCAGCCAGAGGGGATGGACACGAGTGGCGGGGGAAAAGGACTTTATCAGTGTATCACTGTCAGGTGAGACAGGGATAAAAATGGTTTCAAGAATGGCTCTGTCACTGTCTCACTGGGCTACGCTGCCTGTCTTCTTACCAATGGGGGGACTGCAAGGACCCTGTCCCCACCGAGCTGCTGCCGGTCCCATGCGAGTCGTGGCACAGCATGTGAAGGACAAGCTATAACCCCAGTCCTCCCGGGGCTCAGTCCAGGCGTGTTGGCTTCCCAGTGGCATTTCATTTTAAAGCTCCTTTTTTCCTTGTTTTTCACAGGCCTTTTCAAGGACTCATCCCCAAACCCGGTAAGAGATGATGCCTTTTTGCCTAAGCAATGCATTGGCCAAGTGTTCAGTGGTGGTCAGGGAGCTGTAAGCTGTGGATGGCAAGCAATTATTTTAGCAGCTAGAGGAAGGTTGCCCCTGACCTCACTTCCCTGGGCTTCCCACTTCGGTTTTGTGTTGTTTAGTGCATTTGCTGAAGTTCCCCTGACCAAGACAGCTGGCCTCAGCATCACCCACCGGTACTGCTGCTGTTGCCTTGAAGTGACAGTATTTTTCAAGAGCTAATCTAGGGCAGGGAGCTGTGTTCTGTATTTAAGAAAGCACATGTTTTCTTAAGCATTTTCTTAAAATAAATAAGTGTTGCAATGAGCTGGCGGGTTCAGTAGCGAGGGAGGGTTGTGGGAAGGGGGTGATGAACCACAGGGTCTGCATCGGGCTGCAGCAGTGTGGCAGTGAAAGCCCTCTCTGGCTTATGGGCATGGTGCATGTGGATATGCCAGGGGAGACGTGGGAGAAGGGAGGACAGGGTGTCTGGGGTGTGCTCCAGACCCAGCTGCAGAGATCACTGTCCTGGAGCCACGTCCTTCCCTGTGCATCACTGTGGTAGCTCTGAATCTCGCTTCTAGGCTGCCCAGAAAAGAGAGCTGCCATCAGAAATGTGGCTAAAAACCTGTCTCAGTTTTAAATGTATGTAATTACAACTGTTGGAAGAACACAGATGGGTGCAAAAAACGTTGTCATCTTTATTGATGGCTTCCCATTTGCTTGGCCAGCCTCCACGGGGATGGCACAATTTAGGGAAGACAAATATGACAGAGAGGAAAACATTTATATGCCCTTATTTGGAACAGTAAAAAGGTGTTAGACGCCTGGGAGGGCTCTAACAAAAAGCGAGCTGCCTGAGAAATTCAGTCCAGGGCACGGTCCCTGTGTCGAGCCTCTGCATCCCTGTGTATGGCCCAGCCAAGGCGATGGGGAGGTCCCTGAGCCCTTTATGGACCTTGGCCTTAGACATCCTGTCTGTTGGTCCTAAGGAGCAAGGTGCCAGCTCGCATCAGCTGCGCCTTAAATGAGCCCTCACTGAAATGCAAGTTTTGCATAACTCTGGTTTTCCATGGAATTACACGGCTATAATGCCAGAGTGAGACAAGGATGTATCCTATCCTCTCCTCCAGCCACATCTTGTCTTCCCGTTCCTCCGCTGTAATCGGTATAATTACGTTAAGAGACGCTGATCTGACACAAATCACACCATTAACAAAGGAGCACATCAGAAGGCAAATACTTCAACCTGCCAGCTGGCTGGAAAACGCAGCCTGATAAATAGAGATGTAGAGGAAATTGATTTTCTTTTCGATGCACAACATTTTTTTTCCTCCTCCAGCTGAACGCTCCCACCATGGGCTGGCCCATGCTAGCACAAACCTAAAGACATATTTTATTCTGTGTATTGTTGTACCCAAGTGGGCTTGGGAGGAGGTCGCAGCATCCCTGCCAGGCTCAGGGCTTCACGCCCTCTCCTCCCTTGGGGGTTTTAAATAAGAACAGTCGCAGGTGAGGGGTTTTTCTTATTTGACATCTCAATTTGTTGTACACTATTTCATATATTTGCTAAATCTTTGTAGACAATTCCAGGATTTACAATTATTTTCTAGTAGTCAGACTAGCACCAGAACATCTCCTCAAGAAAAAAGCTGTTTGTCTTTTGCCCCCCAAAAATCCCCATTGACAGCAATTAACCTCTCGTCTGCTTTTCCACCCCATTACACCAAAGTGGATGGTGGCAACACAATGGTACATTCACTGCCTTGGCTTTAATCACTTTTCATCTGTCTTAACAAAATTAATGATTTCCAAGTAGCCATAGATCATTAAAAATTTAAATTTACGAGTGTTCTTTTTACCTCAATCTTGTGTAGTAAAGTCCTGCTACGTAAAATGAAGAGCTGCAGCAGAAGTGCGTGCTTGGTGTTAAAATCAGTGAAAATCACTTTTATATCGCAGAGGAGCATTAAAATGAAAACAATAGTTACTTCCAAGCAGGATGACATTGCAAAGGCATCTAAAAGCTGGAAAGTCCAGGAGATGACTGTGTAAATATAAGGGAAATGACAGGTTTTGTGGATCATTTTGGCCAAAAATTACTTGAAAAGTACACAGACTAAGGAAAAGGGGAAATTTAACATAATTTAAAAAAAAAAAAAAAAAAGAAAAATCACTTTGGGTTGATTTTAGTTGCCTTTAGGTTAAATTACAGGGTTTAATTTACTTTAAACAAGCTGTGCACTTCCTGCATTGCAAAGAGCATCCCAGACAACTGCAGGACTGCAGAGGACCGGCCTCCTTATCTCTTTCTTTTGGGGACACCCATTTTTTAAGTGCACAGAAACAGATAAAAGGACTTCAATATAATCTGAGTGCCACACACTCTTTTTTCTCGAGATAATCTGTAATTTCTCTGTCGAGATGGTGTCTCGCCCCTAATGGGTCCCAGTGGGGGTTGTGCCTGCAGGGATGTTGTTTGCAGAAGGTTGTTTTGGGGAAGGGGGTGGATTGAGGCTGCTTTTTGGAAAAAGAAAGTCAGTGGTGCTCCCCAATGCCCGAATGAGGTCACTGGCTGCGACTCCCTTCTGCAGTGTGGATTTTCAGCCTTTCAAAGGTGGGATGATGGCCCTGAGGTCACCGGTGCCTCTGCCAGCACTTAACCCGCGTGGGTCCCAGTGGGGCTTCAACCCAGGAGCACAATTTTCCTGGCGTCCTGAGATTTTCCTTTTGATTTCCAGTTTCTTTTCTCCCTACCACTGGTCTCTGCTCTATGAAACCCCTTTTTTGAAAGCAGAATGGTCTTTCAGCATTAAAACAGAAGTGAATGAGCAGGGGTGAAGCTCCAGTGCTATAAACATGGCACTTATCCTTTCTTCTTTCCCGAGGCACAGAGATACAAAACAGGCTTAATTTGAGCCTTTGGAAAAAAAAAAAAAATCAAGCATAAGTAATCTAGCGTGCACACACACACACACACACACAAAATCTTTCTGTATGTTAATTTTTATGTGCTTTGATTGAAAATGTACACCAGCTCCATCTGTCCTATTCCCCAAACTCCCTACCACCCTGATAGATTATTTCCCATACTCCAATTAATAAAGTAGGGCAGGCAGTGTTCTTTAATTAAAAAAACCACACATCCAAGCATCCTTTTTATATATATTTTTTCTAATCACAAGAGCACAGTCCTCCTCAAGACTTTGATGAGATGTGCCTCGCATTGGAAACTCCTAGTAAGAAAAAAAAAAGAAAAGAGGGAAGTGCTTGATGGAGCGGTGATGGGAGCTGAGGTGATGGGAGCTGAGCACATCTTGCTCCATCACAGGTTGCTTATTGAGGTCCATGCCCCTCTCCCTTCTCCCCCTCAGCCTTGATGTTTAACCCTTGAAGGAGCAGACAGGTTATTTCTCCTTCTGATCCACCTTCCTGTTATCCAGGGTGAATTATTTTTTAGTGTTCAGTGTTTCTAGTCTGAAGGTGAAAATTCAAGCAGGTACTGTGAATAGCTGTGGAGCTTCAAAGCCTGTTTCTAAGCATCTCCACAATTCCAGTCAACTTTTTCTTTGCCAATTTTTTGTCTCCTTTTCCCTTTCACCTGTGTGTGTGGCATCCTCGCACTGACAAGAAGGCAGCACCATCACCCGGCTCATCCCAGCCCTTGTGTTTGCTTTGCTCTTGTCTCCCTCTCCCCCCCCCCTCCCAGACTCATATCCTGCCACGTCCTTCAGAAACCCCAAGCCCCGGTTTTTCAGGGTGCTCATCACACAGCGAGATGGGTGCTGCTCCGTCCTGGCTGTGGTCTGGCACTTAGGGATGTGCTCCGTGCCTCGCAGCAGTGGCTGTGAGCCTGGTGGGATACCTCCCATCGTTAAGGCTGAGCAGCACATGTGGGTTACCAGGACAAGAAATTTTAATTATCTTTCTTAATCAGCATGATCTCATAACGGCACCTTGAAATCTTCACCTGAAGTGCTGCAAATGCGTTTGAGCTGCTGCCAACCAAATGAAATGCCACACTGCCCTTCCTAAAGCAGTTCTGGTCATATTGGAAAGATGCTGTTGTATGCTTTTCTTTCTTGCTGCCTGCCTGCCTGCAGTCTGCCTGCGCTCCTGCCCATGCTTCTGCCTGCATACCTCCTTGACAGGAGCTACACCAGGAACTCATTCCCTCTTGGCCTGGACTTTAGTTTGTCTTTCCCAGTGCTGGCATGACCCATCTCTTCCCCTTTGCAATGCATATTTGCCTCAACATTGTGCATGGCAGGTGGTGCCCACTGGGTGCCCACACAGGCAGGGTGTCACCCAGCAATTTGGGGGACCAGGTGACGGGCAGCATCACTTATTTTCTGGCTGGGTTCTGCTGCATACAGGCCAGGATTTGTCTGCCTGCAGCACCAGCAGTGCAGGGTCCAGCCCAGCACCCCGGCTCACCACGGGCTGCACCGCAATGCCGGTGCCTGCAGCTGCCCTGTGCAAAACCCCATGTTTTTCTGTTCCTTTGGTGCCACTGAACTGAACTGAAGCACTCTCCCTGCACATGGAGGCATGAGCAGAGCTCTTGTCTTCTGTGTGCTGCAGTGGCTGCTTTCCTGAGCCTGCTTGAAATGTTTGATGCATGTTTTGAGCTACTGCAGATTGCTTGTACCTCTGCTCCGCAAATTCGGACACCTCTGCTCTCTCCCCTCATCCCCTCCAGTTTGCTCCTGCCTGCGTGCTGCCATTCGGCAGTAAGAGCTTTCCTCATGCCACAGCCTGCAGCCCCCGTCCTCCCCGCTGGCTCTCCCCGTGGCTGCTTCATTCCCCCTTTTGCCCACCATGCAAATCCTGGCCCTAGCCCTATCCCTGCTGCTTTTCCCCAGGAAATTCATTTCTTTTTGATATCACTCGTCACTTTGGAGTCAATGGCGAGCACCAGCCTCTCCTTAGGGATCCCTTTTTTTCCCATTTTCCCCCATTGCTGTAGAACTGACACAATTTCCCTGTTTGCTTTTCATCTGCTTTAACCTCAGATATTTTTTTCTCCTCCAGCACCGGTGCAGCCCTGCAGCACAACTGCTGCTGCTTTGGCACATGCCATAAATGCTGCCATTCAGCTACGTATCCCTGGCACGTGTGGACCTGGAGCTGCTCAGGAGTGCAGTGTAGCTCAGGAGATGCTCACAGGCTCAAGCACATCCCAAAATGGGTCCCTGCTGTGCGCACCAGGCAGTTATTTAGCTACCGAAACCATCTCTGTGCCAAGGGGCCTCAGGACCAGAGGAATTTTAAGCTGCTAGGGACAGTGTCATCCTGGGTTTTGCTTTGTTTGTGACCAAGAAACCAAGCTGCAGCACTCATGGCTCTCTTTTTCTTTCTCTCTTTTTTTTTTTTTTTTTTTGTCTTCTTTTAACTTGCGCTGTAGCCCCTAGACGGATAACATCATTGGAAAAAGCCTACGCTGCCTTGAATGGTACGTAGCTCAGTTGATGCATCGTAGATGGTAGCAGACAAGAAATGCACTTGCGTTTTAATATGGGAATGAAAATGTCTTAAACTCCCAAATTTCAGGTATTTCTTTTTCCTCTCTGCTCTGTTTCCCTGTGATACCAAGAACTGAATGATGCAGGATGTGTTTAACAGTATTTTATCATTGTTATGAATTCTCTCTGCATTTCTAAGCACCATTGCTACAGTCCCTGGGTACTGGTGCCGGTTCTGTGCCAGACAGACCAACCTGCCACATGATCCTCAGCTCATCCACGTGTCTGAGCAATTAATTTGTTAAAAAATCCACTTGCCATTCACAAGGAGAGCTTGCACAGATGTGGGTTGGGGTTTTTTTGTTTTGCTTTAACACATCCTTTGGGCCAGGGTTGGTGTGTAGTCATGTAGGCTCTGGGGATTTAATATATATACTAATTTACAGAAGTAAAGAAGAGCCCATCTGCCTGTATCTATGGCAGGGCACAGCATATCTCTGGCAGATCCAGGCTTAGTCCCATCAGCTGGGATTCTGGCTGCATGTCTAGATGTTAATTGCCTGCTCCTGCAAGTTTATAGCTCTGCTCTGAAAACATGCATATGTTGAGCTAATTTGAACTGTATTTAAACCTGAGTTACTGTGGAATAGCCTCAGTAAAGTCAGTGGATTTATTCTGGGTTTACACAGGAGTGTAATTGAATTGCACCCACTAAAGCTGGAAGGGGGAAGAGGTGTGTATTTATCCTCTCAAGATCCAGGGCCACATCCTGACCGCTGTAAACAGCCTACCCTGGCTGGGTGTTTCTTTCACACAACTGGGATTGCCTGAAGAAGGGACCTGAGCCACTTGCCTGGTGGGATGTGTTGGGCAGTGGCTGTTTCCCTGATGAACTGGGCTTCATGCCAGGTGTTGGGATAGCAGGAGGTTGTAACTCCAAGCGAGGTGGCTGGGTGGAGGACGTGCATCACCTGGAGCAGCACCCCAGGATGCTGGCAGCAGCATGGGGAGGAGGCAGGCTCTGCCTGGTACCCTGCCTGGCCGTGCCATGGCTTCACCCCTGAGATCTGGGCTCTGCATGTGGCATTGAAAACCCGTACAGGACCATTATTTATCCATGGGATACCTTGGATTTGGTTTTGTTGTGTTTTTTTAAAGTCACTAGAAGAATAGGTGCTGTTTGGAATCCTGCTGTTCAAAAGCAGACAGCTAAACCCTGTTTTTAATAACTACTGAATATGACTTGGCTTTTCTAAAAGAAATGTCAAGCTCTGACAAGTCCTACTGGAAAAGAGAAAATGGTGCTTTAACAATGTGACCACTTGTATGTAAGTGCCTGTGGAGAGAGTGGGGCTCCTCACTTCAGGCAAGGAGGATTGGAAAGAAAAAAGTCAATCAACTGGCTACTTTCTTTAAATTAAAGAAATAAAAATTTGATAGCACAGCATGCATAAACCTGCTTTATGGGAAGGACTCTGCACATCCCAAGAGTGCCGATGGCTTCCTTGAGTCAATTATTTCCCAAACCAGAATGTCTAAAGTCACAAGTAGATGGAGGTCCCTCCTGCCCGGAGCCGCTTGGGGACGGAGGGGCAGGTCCCCAGGAAGCAGCGCCGCTGGCCAGAGCCTCCTCTCTGGCTTCTCTGTTATGCATGCTCAGTTCCAGGTTTTTCATGGCATTTGTTTGTGTCCTTGGATGGGAATTTGGGAGTCCTGCCCACCACAAGGTGGGAAAAAACCCCCATGGGATCTTGTTTCTTCACTCAGGTCGCTCAGGGCATGAGCGGAAAGGAAAGAGCTGCTGTGTTTTTCAGTCCCAGAGAATTAAATGAGTGAGAACACTTAATTTTGGTGTTTCTTTGTCTGCTACCATCTACACATCCATATGGGTGTGTATATACAGCCCAGAAACTGAGCATCAGTGACAAGGAAGTCGCAGAGGGAGCCCGCAGGGTTTGCCCTCACAAGCCTGCCATGGCCTTGGGCGCAGCACTGCAAGGCAAGGTCTTGGTTCTTGAAATCAGAGCTCCTTGGCAGCATTTATTTGATTTTCTTCTATTTTATATATATTTTTGCTCCATCCCTTTCAAGCTGCTTTGTTGCCATTTCTGGATTTGAGCAGGGCTTGGCCCCAAGGTTCCTTCACAGAAACTTCTCCCTTTTTTTTTTCCCTAGTTATATCCAGACAAAACTATTGTTTTCCAGGGGAATGGGAGGCTTTTTTGAGGCTGTACCCTGCAGTAGCAGGGTGTGGAGATTTAAGGGTGCTAGCTTGCTTGGGGACCCTCATCAGCAGGGTGGCTGAGGCGTGTGATTTCTGCTGGGGCGCCGAGCACTGGGCTCTGAGACCCCATGTAGGGAGGCAGGGACTGGTGTTAGGTTTTCAGCTAGTGTTTAAAACAAAACTGCAAGCCATGTGTTTGCCTAAAGCCAAAATCATAATCATGTGATTGCTCAAAATCAGAATCAAAATCATACGATTGCTCAAATTCAAATTAAATAGCTGCAGACCAGGGGTAGAGGATGCTCAAGTCCCTCATGCTGCGGTTTGCAGCACTCACTTTGATGTTTTAAATAACCGTCCTGGATTTCCACCCCGTGGTGTGCTAGCCAGGGTGAAAATGCCTGCCTTGGGAGCAGTGAGGCTCATGGTGGTGATACCTGCTCTCTGGGAGGGCCCCTCCACCCCCGAGCTGGCCCTGCACTGCACTCCCCAGCTGGCTCAGGGCTGGGGGGGTGACCCTGGCGAGAGGCAGATAAGGTTCATTCAGTTGGTGCTTTATACCTGCAGGGTGAAAAAGCATCAAAGGGGCCCAGTACTGACCCCAGTCGTTTTTTCTGGAGCCCCCTGAGGATGCTGAATAGTTGGGGGGAAAATCTACTGACATAGACACGTTGTTTGAAATGAGAGAACGGAGGGGAAGCTGTTTGGCACGATGAGGATAATTTAAAAAGCTAGTAAAGCCAAGCTGATTATATGGCATATTATAAAACAATACTGTACTTAGGAGCCCGGCTATAAAAGCGCTATCTCATTCCTTGATATCACTTGTGGGAGCATTCGTGGCACTGAGGGCCTGAGTCTCTGTTGCTTTGCATATTTTGCAGTCCTTTACAGCACCGCAAAGTGGATGTAAAATGCTCTCAGCCGTGGCAGCGCGTGGCAAATGCAGATTTGGCAGCATTTTATAGCCACTTTGCACAGTTCTAAAAGGTGACGCAAGGTGCAGCCGCAGAGCAGCCACCTCTGAGGTGTCCCCACGCTGCGCTGGAGCAGAGGGACAGAGACACGGTTGTGTGTTGTGAACAGTGGGGTGGAGTTTCCAGGGGCTCAGAAAGAAACAGGGTATGTTATTCCCTGTCCTTTTTTGCTTTGCAGATGAGGATGATGCCAACAGGCTCGGAGAGAAGGTGATTCTCCGAGAGCAAGTGAAAGAGCTTTTCAATGAAAAATACGGTGAGTCTCCCATCTGCACGCATCGCCAAGCAAGTTTGTTTTTGCTGACAGCAGCCATAGTTAAAATTAATTCGACTGAAGGCCTCTATTTATAGGCCAAGCGCACGGCAGCCTGCTGCAGCACAGGTTTCGTCCCACTGCTTCACGTTACAGCCTGTCCCCAGGGATGTTTCCAGTGTCTCGCTCCCGGCAGGTGGGACCGTGACCTTCTTGTTGACAGCTCATCCTTGGCGAGGGGAGGGAGGATGGAAAAACGCAGCCAAGGAGCAGGATTTGTTCAGTCTGCTGTCAGCCTTTGATGCATTTTTAACGTGTTCTGAGCCGGCGTGAGCCACGATGTGTGTGCTGAGTGTGCCTGCCCTGCGCCAGCCTGCTGGCAGGCAGCCCCTGCCTGCTCTGCCTGCCAGGCTGGGAGCAAGGCTGGAGCTGCAGCCCGACATGGGGCACGGCTGGGGAAAAGCGTGCTGGAGCCGTGGTGGAAAAGGAGGTCAGGAGATTGAAGGAGATTTGAAAATGTCGTTTGCAGGCTCCTTGTGCTGCCTCGCAAACCCCTCCTTCCACCCGTCCTTGGGGAAAGGCTCAGCAGGAATAGCAGCCAGCTGGGGGGGGTGGAGGAGCCAGCCACAGGGTGCACAGCCCGGAGCAGGGTCACTGTCTTGGCTGTCCCCTCGCCACCGTTTGGGTGCAGCTTGAGTAAGTACTGAGCAGTTGCTTCTCAACCTGCGACTCCCCGGGGCTGTGCAGCCGGGCCACGGCGGGTCGGTGGCACCCGCCGCTGCAGTGCGGTGGCTTGCCTCCCTCCCCAGAATAACTGCCTGAAGGAAAACAGCCAAAATGATAACAAAGCAGTGAGGAATATCATTCTCCTTTCTCAAGTCTTCCCTTGTCAAGGCTGCTCGCCCTCCCCACAAGTCCTTTTTATTTTGGGGTGCTGCTCGCAGCTGTGTGCTGCTTTGGGGGTGGGTTTTCCCTGTTGGAGGTGCCAGCATGCGGGTGCAGCTCCCCAGGGAGGCTGGTGCCCATGCTCTGAGCATCCCCATCCACCCCAGCTCAGCAGCACTCGCCCCATGGCAGGGCTGAGCCCACAGCAGATCCCTGCATTCCCATGGTCCTGGCACTGTTTATGAAACACAAGGTGCCAGAAGGGCTCCAGGGACAAACTCCCTGCAAGAAAAGCCAGAAATGTGGCTGAGGGGCAGCTCACACCTTCAGGTCTGCGGGCTGCAGAGACCTGAGGTGAGAGGAGGCTCTTACAACTGGGACCAGCGCAGGAGGGGGG